AGGATACTGAGTTAGCAATGTCTTGAGTTGCAGGAGTTACGACAAGAATAAGGCAATTTGGCTGACTGATAAATTCTTTTACCATATTCTGTATTTGAACAGCAATGTCTTTAGGCTGGTCACCAACAGGTACTTTGGTTAGTCCAGGAAGATCTACTACAGTCAAGTCTTGTAAAACTAAAGAACAAAATTGTCAGAATATATAAATGTAGGTGTATATGTTTGAATGAACATACATATATATATATAGAGAGAAATAAATTATATTTATCTCTACCTTCTTTACCAATGCATTGGTAACAGAAAAATATTTAGTGCTGTTTTCTTTAATTTTGTATACGTGTGTTCCCTTATGTGGTTAGCCAGAAAAGAAAAATTCTCGCGATCAGTAGGAGTTCCGGAATGCTTTTTCCGGTATGTCGAGGGAATTCTAATGGAATGATATATTCTAAGCTATTTTCCTTTGGCATAAAATGTTCGCTATTGCTTACTTTGTTATATAAATTTATGTATTTCGCGTTTTCTGCTTTCTTAACGTCTAAGAAAACAAATATTTAAAAGAAAATTAACCATAAAACATACAATCCATTTTAGACAAACTATACATTAAACAGAAAGAAACGTGGACAATAATTTAGTTTACGAGAAATATCTAAGCAATTGATATTTATATATGTTATAATTTTGGACTTGGAATTCAAAATTGCAGAGGCGCAAAGGTGATTTAGAATAGATAATTAATTACCCGTTTCCTACAAACTTAGCCGATCCAGTAAGAAGAGTGACAACTATTACTGGAATATTTAAGAATGGAGTAATTAAAGTTACTATCAGTCTTTTTATGATGCTTTCTTAAATCCGTTGTTCTGCAAACTTAGGCTCGTGCACAATAGGATATGATGTTTTGAAAAGACTAAAACCTTCTGTGTTGCAACTCAGATAGCCTTGGTGAGTTCTAAAAAACATCTGGTGTTTTGGGGTTTCCTCAAATTTGTATTATAAATGTTATTATATATTTTTTACAAATAAAAATTATGTAGGTCTTTTCGGGAAGATTTTTATTTTGCCATAACTAAAACTTAATAGCAAAACTACAAATGCAATTTATGTTTCAATTGGTCATATTTATAATCATCTTGTAGTGATCATATATTGTCCAACGTTTACTTTTATGACGGTGTCTTTCAGAAATGTTTAAGAAATAAGAGTCTTTAGTTTGTGTTTTATTTCAAAAGTTGTCAAATAGAATCCAAATGATTACATGAGTGTAATCAGATTTGAGTTTATCAAACAACCTTTAACCATAAAATTACATCCAATAAGATAGTGGAGAAAACACTATCATTTCTCAATACGTCAGTAAACGTGTGAGATTGAAGGTATTGCAGACAAAAATTGACAAATAACTTTTTTGAACAGTTATTGGGTATTACGAAACGTTAGAAATAAATAATTAAATGTTCAAATTTATCATTCGATATGCATTGAACTTTTTCTTGATTTACTAAAATATCAAGTACAGTGAAATAATACTATATGGTTGTATATATTTATATACAATAAAATCTGAATTGATCCAGTATGGGTTTCCTAAGTTTTAGATGCTGTTTTAACTCTTTTTTTTTGTCACCAACAAAGCACTCTTACTGGTAATCCTGATTGATTCAGTTAAAATTTGAATTGTAAAAAATTCAATCATTTTTTGACATATCATTCGATGTGATTCCTAAGTAAGGACAGTAGTAGCTTCAGTTTGAAACGAAGAATAACAATTTTATATAAACAGATATATTGGTTTGAAAAATACATTTGTGCTGTATTCAACATAAAATATACCGACATAATGAATATCCTTACCATTTGGTGAGTATATACGCAATGTAATTGGTTTTGCAGAAACGTTTTTTGTTTTACCCGTTTCTCTGTCAGTTTCTACAATAATCTCTTGTTGAATTTCTTTGAAATCCGTGAATGTTTTGTTTGGCTGGTGGTTGAAAATAGCATATTCTATCAAAAACGTAAAGAAAAATGTTCCTCATTACTATTGCATTTCATACGTTTGTTTCATTAAGATTAGCTCCGTACTTGAATCAAAAAAATGAAATTTACTAGACTAAAACTATCTCTCAAGCAAGTAGTAACAATAATACATTTCTACTAAAGGTGAAGGTTTGATCCATTTTAACGATCCTATCGGTAACATTAGTATCTTAAGCATGACAAAAAACTGTGTTATCTTTTTTGTATAAATCCACACATATAATTTTAGGTTTGTTTAGAAAATAGTCAATGATAAGAAACCGAAAAAATGAAATAGAAAAAAGGGGAAAAAGAAAATATTTTTCTGAAAGTTAACGGTCATTTCTTGCATATGTTCCTGTTTGATATAATTTTTTTATCAACCTGAAATGTTTTTCACTACATAAAAAATAATTCTTGCTTTGATAATTTCATTTTATGTTCTACGTTTGGACTTTCTAAACAAAGGTTTGGGGGCCTCTTTACCCCCAACTAATAACTACAGTGTATCATTATTAACTTATCTCAGTCTCTGTAAAAGTTTATTAAAACAATTTGAAAGAGATGTAAAGCTGAGAAGTCTTTAGACACAATTTGGAACAAAACATTTACAAGTGGGTGAACAATAATAAATTGTAATGTTATGTCTATTTACTATTTAGTAGAGATATAGCTGATGTTTTTATTTATTCCAACAGAATAGTTTCCATCTACAATGTACTGAACCAAAAATATATCAAATATAATGTATATTTTGATTATCATGTAATTCTATCAAGTTACGCTGAAGTGCTGTCAGTTCCACAGAATTCTCAAACAAAAAGTGTCAACGTCCTTGGTTTTTGTGAGATTGTAACTGCTACAATAGTCGCAAGGGTGAGCATCATTTTGTCACCTTCTGACGTATTTACGAATTTCAGTTGTTTCAGACTCCCTCTAAGAGCAAACTATGCATGCAGTTCTCTGCATATAAATTTCCAAAGTATAATATTCGAGGCTACAAATGTTTACATTAACATTTATTTGTTAAATTTATCAAGAAACGTAAATACTAATATAAGTCTACGTATAATAAACTTTCACATCCAAATCAATAACAACTGAAACGTTTCTTTCACCCAATCAGGTACAATAATATATAACACTAGCTCAAAATAAAATATTAAAACTAAGTTGAATATTTCAGTTAGAATAATCAGTGGTGCTGTATTTTACCTTTATCAGGACTGTAGAAAAGATGGATCACCAGAGGTCGCCTAGTCACGACTCCAGTTCCACGTGGTAAGAATTCTCTGAAAAGTACATCAAACGTAAATAAACTCATTGACAAGGCTTGTAAAAATGTTTGTTTGTTTGTTATGGATTTCGCGCAAAGCTACACGAGGGCTATCTGCGCTAGCCCT